GATGGGCATGAGGCTAGCATCGTCATCCCGTAAAAAAAAACACCACTTTTGCCGAAACTTCAAAACTCTACCTTGAAGCCCTATGTTCCGCAGGGAATGTAAAGGAATAAAAAACTAACTAACAACCATAATTAATTCAGAAGTGTCTGGAGAAAAATAAGAGTAATAAAAGTGGTAATAAAAATAATAAGAGTGATAAGCAATTCATAGTCTTGATATCACTGCTATATAAGGAAGGAATATCATAAATCTTATGTAGAATTCTTAAAAAGACTGCAATTAAGGTGGCATTTAAAATAACTAACTCTTTCAGAAATAAATTTTTTCACACTCGACAAATCTAGCACAGAAAAAGAATTTAATTCACCAAATAGCATATAATGACTACGAAGCTATTTATGCGGAAGACTGCAGAGAATAAAAAGACGAATAAATTAGATCAATAAGAAGACTCTAGAATATTTGGACTTTGTGGACGATTAATGTGTAATTTAAGGCAAAAATCAACACGTTGGAGGGAGGAGTAGTGAAGAGAAGACTTCAGTCGGAAGTGAAGAAGAAAGTGATGATGAAGATATCCAAACGAACAGCAATAAACACCAATCACAGTCAAGGGAAGAAATTCAGGGGAGATAGATCACTTGCTTCCATTGTGGGAAAGATTTATTTTCATTTACTCTCAAAGTGTATTTATTATTATTGTTTCCTTTAATTCCTAAAGGAACATAGGGCTTCAGCTGTGCGTCTCCATTGCATTCGGTTCTCTGCTGGAGACTTCACCTGGCTCCAAGTCTTATTGATATAAGTATAAAACTTGGGCACTGTGGTAGAGTATAACTCCATAATGGATAAGATTTTATTTCGGTAAATCACACAGTGTTGTACAGTTATATTAACTGATGACGTTTCGAGCACAACTACTGCTCATAATCATATCAAGTTGATATGATACGATTATGAGCAATAGTTTGTGCTCGAAACGTCATCAGTCAGTAAATCTGTACAACACTGTGTGATGTATCAAAATAAAATCTTATCCATTATGGCTCAAAGTCTACCCGCACGTTTTCATCTCCTCTTCACATGACCTCCTCCAAGTCACCCTTACACTAACGACCAACTTGCCGCTTCCTTTTCGGGTTCCACTCAAGGGCTTGTCTAGTGATGTCACTTGATGGTTTCCTCAGAGTATGACCAATCCATCTCCACTTCTTCCTGACTATTTGTTTCACAATCGGTTCTTGGCTGGTTCGCTCCCAGAGATCACGGTTGCTGATCATTTCTGGCCATCTGATCTTGAGTATTGAGTGAACACAGATGTTAATGAAGGTCTGTAGTTTGTCTGTGCTCTTTATGACGCGCGAAGTCTCTTATCCGTATAGTAAGTGGCACTGACTTCACATTGGAGTTGAAAATCCGGATGTTATTTTTGATGCTGAGTGCTGTTGACCTCCATACAGACTTGAGAGTAATGAAAGCTTGCCTTGCTTTTCCGATCCTTGCTTTGATATCCACGTCACATCCTCCTGTAGTTGAAATGATGCTTCTCAGGTCGTTAGGTAAAGGAGGTACTTTCCTTCAAGTTCCTCCCATTTATACTGATCATTGTCTGTTGTTGTTGTTTTTGTCCAGAAATCTTCCTTACCTCTGTTTTCTCTATGTTCACCTGAAGTCCTATCTTTGATGCTTCTTCTGCCAACTTGTTGCTTTTCACTTGCATATCTTCCGGTTTGTGGGAATTCAGACATATATCATCGACGAAGTCCAGGTCTTCCAAGTTTTTGTGTGAGTCCATTTTATGCCTACCCCTCATATCCCGTTGTCTGTCGCATTATCCAATCTACTGCAATCAGGAAAATCATTGGCGATAGTAGGCAGCCTTGTCTTACTCTCGTCTTTACTTCGAAGGATTCCGTAAGTTTCCCGTTGTAGATAACTTGGCATGCAGCATTGTCGTACAGCTGTTGGATGAGATGTATAATTGTCGGTGGTACCCCGTAGTAGCGAAGTAGTTTCCAAATCACCTCTCGACTGACACTGTCAAAGGCCTTTTTCTCAAAGTGTGATGCAGTTATATTTACTGATACTGTTTCAAGCACAATTTATTGCTCATATCATGTGAAGTTGCTTGCTAGTCTACCACAGTACCCAATTTTTATCTTTGTATCGGTGGAATTTCGCTTGCTACATTCTCATCACCAACCAATATCAGTTAGTGCGATAAGTGAAAACCAGAGGAAACCAGGTCATTTAATTCCAGTTCAAGTGACTGGATGGTCACCGAGCTTGGTCTCGTAATCTGATGGTCCCAGGTTCGAGCCCTGGCAGAATTGCAGTTGAGCATAACTGGGGTGGTCCAGAAACAGCACTTCAGTGCCTCCTGACTTTTAAAATCCCCTCTAACTGACGCTATTTCGTGACGAAAATCCAAACTCCCCACACATCTTCTAATCTGAAAAAAGGTTGTTCATACTATTAATAGACACTTTTTAAACATTAGTGTAGTTAAGAATCCATTGAAAATAAGTACACTTCATAGATAGATAGATAGATAACACGACACTATGACATGCCTCCTAATATGACAATTAGACAACACAATTTAAGCAAAACATCTACTTCTAATTACTTCTAATCATGTTTTACGATCACCTAATTAGATTAGTAAGCATAGACATATGATACCAGTATGATTAATAGAATTAAAGTCCATGTGTTTGCGAATCAATGGTTCTCTAACTGATATCAGTCCGTGATCAACTCGTAAAACATAACTAATCCTTACAAACCAAACTTTAGAAAATAATGGATAAGAATCAAGGCGAGTATATTAATAATAATAATAGTGATATCAATAATAAGCATAAATCCATCTAGGTATTTTATATGATCTATCTGGTTAGTCGTTCTGAACGTATAAGTGGAATGTGTATGTTTGTAGGGGTAGAACGGGAAGAGCTAACTATTGTCTTACTTGGTGATTATATAATGCAACATTCAGATTGTGAAACCAAGATTAAAAAATGCTATTAGGAGAGAGTATGATAATTTGTTCTAAGGTTAATTTAACATTTTGCCTTTTTAACGGATTTTATTTGCCTATGGTCATCGTGTCTTTGTTGATATGCTGTCCCCTATACTATGGATACTTCGACAACGTCTAAAGAAGTCTTTTTTGGCAGTTGGTGATTAGCGGTCGAGATCTGGGATGCATATGTACTCCTAATTTGGACTGGTTATATGGACTTCTGTATGTTTGCACTGGGTGGTTGTCCCCCCACTGCGTTGTCCGCTAGACCACAAATACGACAACAGATAAAATAGGCATTATCAACGGTGCTCGAGAGGTCATCAGTTAATAATACTGTATGACACTGTGAAACCTTATCAAAATAAATTTTACTCGCACTGGAATTATACTCTACATCAGTACACAAGTTCTTTTATTAACTCGGGGTCACCTGCTTCACTTATTTAGGCAGCATTGTTTCAGTTGCAGGATGAGGACGTGAAAACCAGAATAAGAAAGACGAGACTAACCCTTATTTCTATGAAAACAGTTCTAGAATCTGCTGCACTCAACATCAAGAATACAGTTAGGCTTTTTACCACTGATATTTGCTCAGTCCTCTTAGTTAGGTCAGAAACTTGATGGATGAGTGACGAGTAACATTTAGAATGGACTTCAAACTTTAATAAGCATCTGCCATCGTCCTATGTTGAAGATTAAATGGGAAGCTCTGGGAATGACTTAGTCAATAATCTATTGCTCAAAAAGTATCCCGAAGAAATTGAACATGGTTCACGTGCACACTTAGGGGACCGTTAATTGACACACTTTGAAATAACCATCAAGAACACCAGTGTTAATTTAGTTCTTTTACATGAGTCGAAAGTTTGGCAATGACGTAATAAAAGGCATTTCAAACAGGTCGCATACTTTTAACAACAGCTGTCTCTTTAGCTTGATTATGGAGATTAGAGGGTCAAAAACAATTTTTCTTCCTTCACGTTCCCCAGTGTAACATAGGGCTTCAAGCTAGCGGTGTTTATTTTTACAGGATGGGGTTGCTAGCCTCATACCCAACCTTTCCTCTTTACCAACATTATTTCTGGCTTAGCGAGATAAAGGAGTGCGTCGACCGGGGATCGAACCCTGGACCATGTGCATGGTCGGCGAGCGTCCTAACCGCTGTACCACTGACGCCAAAAACAATTAAAAAACTAACAACTCTAGGAACGAACCATTGAAGAGGAGATCGGCGGGTGAAGTTGTGTGGCAGGCTATTCAGTGAAAACTGAATGGGGAAAGATGAGTTAGGGCTCATTTTGCGGGTTACATGGAGGAGATTGTAGTATTGGAGGGAGGAGGAGAAAAGAGCTTTTGTACATACGTCTGGTAAGCTGAAGATGACAGCAGAAAACAGGACAAAATGGACCTGTGCTACTGACGCCCTATATTCCTCTCTTAATCCAAGGGTACAATATTATTAAATGTTATTTGATAGGGGGGCGGTCAGTCGTACTGTTAACAAAATGGCGGAATGTATTTTACTCCAACAAAGAGTTATACATGAACCAGAAAAAAGTCAATTCAAGTTATGATATGTGCGTCGGTGGCACAGTGGTTAGGACTCTCGCCGACCATGCACATGGTCCCGGGTTCGATACCCCGCCGACGCACACCCCATATCTATGGTCGGCCTGCGAAATTTGTGCTATCGATTTCCATGCTGAAAATTCCATACTTGCAATGAAAATACGGTGTGGCATCAAGTAGTAATCAAAATAAAAAAAATAAAATAAATATATATCAGACGCTACACTGACGAGTAAAATCTGGATGCGGAGAAAGCGATTCAAAGTGGCTCTGAAGTCAGCGTCGAGAGGATCAATATGGAGGCTTTAAGCATAGTCCTGAAACCAACTGTAAGCGATGACAGACAGCCAATTACATCTAGGAGATCAAAAAACCATACCACATTTAATTACTAGTTTTACACACATATTTCTTTATTTTTTTAAACACACAGCAATATCAGAATTATTTACAAAAATTTTAGCTTTTAACAGAGAAATAGACTCTGATGTTTTTTTTAAAACAAGCAAAATAACTTTGAAAATAGATATGTCGCTTTAAGCTTTTTTTAGGGCCGGGGTAGGGGGGAGGGCACTGAGACAGTTACCTTCTTTTCTTACCACATCGTAGTGTTTTCTTCAATTCTCTACGAAATCTTGTCCCAACAGCACAATATAAATAAAAATTTATAGCATGATTTGCATACATTAATACTTCAGCAATACAATCAAATAATTCCAGTAATGCTATATCTTCTGGATCCTGCCCAATATTCCATGCAACTAATAGCTTGACTACAACAACTGGTGCAGTCGTCAGTAGGAAGACACCGGAGATTAACATCAGCAGCAGAGTTAATTGACGCATCTCGCTAGAGAAGATTGTATGTGGACGTCTCACAATGCTATTCGTTTTATATTCAACACCTTTAACACCTCCTGTATACGGTTGTAGCTGCATACTTACACAAGGATGTTTACATTTGCATAGATTAGCACTATATAAACTCATATTACTATTACTTTTATGATTGGCATGATTCAAATTATTCAGCGAGATAACACTGGATCCATGGGATGATGAACCGGCTATCTGTGGTGGTGGAGTAAAACGATCACTAGCATACGACTGGGAACCACAATAGGATGTTTGTGGTGGTTGACGTATCTGTGCATCTGTACATCGATTGAGTTTCATAGAGAAATTACCAAATTTTTTGATATTCCAATAGTTATGATTATGATTATTATTATTTTTTAAGCAATGATGATAATATTTTGTATTTGGCACTCGATAGATCATACTGGCTCGACGTTTTGTTGCCCAACGAATATTGATCAGGATCAGAATATTGGAGATAACAATAATGATAAATGGCAGATAACTATACAATGTAGCATCTATCCATGTCCAAATGCTTTGAAAGCCATTCTCTTTGTACACGAGGTGAAAATCACACACTCGGGGATCTGAAATAGTCATATTATCATATGTTTGTTGTTGATAGTGCAGTAAAGTTGAATTAGCAATACTCTGACCCAGGAAATGACTATTCTCTATTAATCTAGACGATAGATACAATGGGATGTTTTGTTCTGCACTGGCGGCATCCTCTTCATCCTCGTCACCATCCAATGATTTATTCCCATCTCTTGTTACAAGATCAACAGTGAGAAAAAAGTGTCCACTTACAGTTGACGCTAGAATGCATAATATTATTATTGATGTACACGAACATTTAACACGTTTATTATGTATTGAACTAATCGGCGACATAACGACTAGAGTACGTTCCACAGTGATCAGTACAATAATCCAGACAGAGATGAAACTTGTAGTGACACCGATAAATTGCATTGACTTACACAACAGCCAATGTCTATCTTCTAGCCGGTAGGAGAGTAATCGATCTAACCATCGTGTTAGTAGACCAGTGCACAGAACTCCTTCATCCATTATGGCTAAAAATATGAGATATATATGCGATGATGGATAGAGACTTTTACGTTTATAAAATACTAGAAATGATAGAATATTTCCAACAGTTCCGATTAAAAATAATAATGGTAAGATATACTTCCAAATGATATCTATCGTGTGACATCGAAATGAAATTTGAAAGGGGATACCATCGGTGAAATAATATCGAAAGATTGAATTGTACTGAAAGGGTAGGAATGGGATATTTGAAAAATTACTGTTGTTTGTGAAATTTGTCACATAGTCGTTATTCAATGGGGTAAATATCGTCGTATCTGTACTTACTTCTGGATAACTTAAATTTAGGCTGAATTTCTCAGTGTATTTCCATAGTGATTTGTCTGGTGAGATAAACGTTAAAGGTGGTGTTTGTATATTCAGTTGTTTTATGTAACCACAGACAAAATGTGAACCAGATGAGGTCATGTTGTTAGTTAAGAAGAAATAATGCAGAGTTAATTATTCTTGAGGTATTTTCCGTTGTTGGGTGTCAGTGGCATCGAAAAGGATGGATAATTAGGAGCAATTTTATTTATTTATGGAGCCCTACTAATCAACCAATCAAAATAAAAGTTGTCATAACGTTATCTGATTGGTCAGATTAATACTTCAAAATCACGAAATATACGCATTGGATCATAGGAATTATTAAAAAGACGGTTGCAGAGGAGGAACTTTTTCTGTCGACGAAGTTATCAACTAGGCTGTACATTCGTGAATCGATAACCAATAGGTGGGAAAATTCCAGAATAATTTCCGGTCAAGGGTCAAATTAATATAATTACAATTAGGATATAAAATGCCTGATAATAAATCGGGGGGGAGGGGAAGGATAAAACATAAACAAAGCATCATCATTATTAGGGGTTAGAAATGTAAAAATAACAAAAATAGACAGAATGGTTGGATAAAAAATTTAGTGGGATCATAAATAATGTGACGAATAATTGTTTATGCAGTTAGGGATTAAATATGTAGAAATAATAACATGAGAAAATAGACAGGAAGTTCGCATATGAAAATATGGTAGTGTATATAGGCATTACGAAAAATATTTAAAAATGACATGAATAAACAGGATGTTTAGCTAAGAAAGTGAATGGGACAGTCACTATTAGAAGAATAACCTCTTTATGATGGCAACGGCAGAGACAAGGGTTCCTTTGCATACAAAGCGTGGGTTTGAGCTATTGGATAGCAAGTGCCTGGCTATGCCCAGATGTCTTAATTTTACTCCCTTTGATAGGTTTGATCTAATCTTGTGTTCTCCTTTTACTAGCCAGGCTGGGTAGTGGTCACGAGAGCGTTTTTCAAGTCGGCGTATTGTGTGGCCGATGTACTCAGCTCCGCAAGAGCAAGTTAATTGGTATATGCACGTTGAAGTGGCGCAGTGTGACAGCTTGTCTTCCGTGTTCTGGCTGAACAGTTTCTTGCAGGAAAACGTCAGTCGTAGGCTTGCGGGGAAGTATGTTTTATTTAGAGACTTGCAGAGGCATCTACGAAGGATTCCCGCTTCAATATCACCTTTGAATTCTAGATTAAGCAGAAGTATCTTCTTTGCGACGGATTGGACTTGTTCGGAAGTCTTTTTTGATTTGATTTTTATCCAACCATCCTGTCTTTTTTCATTATTTCTACATTTCTAACCCCTAATTGCACAACATATCAATCTTCTCAGTTATTTTGATGCTACTTTGTCTGAGTTTTATCCTTCCCCCTGTTTATTATGGCACTTTAATTCCTAACTGAAATTTTATTAGTTCGACCCTTGACCGGAAAGTATTCTGGAGCTTTGCCACCCATTTGTTATAAATGCACGAATAATGTACAGCCTAGCTGAAAATTTCTGAGAGAAGAAAATTTACTTCAAAATTAGTTGATAATTTAAATGGTGATGAAGGTTGCTTTTTGCTAATGAGGAGAACACTTGAAGCACTCCATTTTATTTCAGTGTGAAACTACAAGATAGGGAAAGGATTTAGCTATGCTATTAGTGTAGGGTTACGATTTCGGCGTAGGATATTTGTAGAAAAATATTATCAATTTGTCTCATACAGTCGTTGATGGCTGACACCATAATTCCAAATAAACTTTAATTTTCCCTCCATCATATGAACTTCTCCAAATCGTCAGTTTTCAGTTCGGATGACACTAGAAGACATACCTGGAGAATGACGTCACTTTACGGCTTCTTCAGCGTGTGTCTACTTCACTTCAACTTCCTTCCGTTTATCTCATGGGCAATAGCTTCCTGCTTGGATAGTTGCTAGAGATGCTCATTGCTTATATCAGTGTGGATCGAAGCCTGTCATTGTAAAAGTCTACAACCTTATGCGTTTGCCAAAGTCTCTGAAATGTGCAGAAGCACTTACCTGACATTAGTGCTGAAAATTCAGGCGTTGTTCCTAACTGTGATTGCTGCTGATATCCGCACTGATTTCAGGGTTATAAAAGTCTTTCTCGCATCTTCAATCCTGCCTGCTTTTCGCATTCTCATCTGTCCCAAACCGCATCTAGTTGAAACGATGCTGTACAGATAAGTAAAAGTGGTGGCTTTTTTCAGATTTGATGGTGACTGATGCTTGTTGTTGTTTTCAGTTAGGTATCTGCATCACTTCTGTCTTCTCTGTGTTCACCTGTAGTCCTGTTTTCCCTGCTTCAACCCTCTATCACCTCATTGGTTTTCGTCTGGTGACGTTCAGGTTTGTGCTACACTAGACCTAAGTCGTCCGCGAAGTAGAAAAATATATGTGATCAAAATACACAAACAGATATTAGTGCAACAACTTAAAATCATTTGGTTGTAGTATTCAGGCTGTTTTAATTCACTGACATTCATTTTGTGCATTATAACTGCCTCATATGAGACAAAGTGCATTCGTACACCCTTTGAATTTCAGGTATTTGATAACTAGGTAATTTTTTTGTGCGGTTTCATCATGAGCTGACATCAGTTGGAGAACCATTGGAAAACCTGAGAATACGTGGCAACCGTTTCGTCCTCGTCTGTGACTCATCATCAGCACGCACCCACCGAGGTTTGAACTCAGTTCCATAATGGTCTAAGGACTCACCCTGTGACCAGTAGGTCCTGGCTTCCAACCCCGGTGGGTGCGTGCTGATGAAGAGTCTCAAATTGGGATGAAAAAGCTGTCCAGTATTCCTTAGTGGGTTTTCCAATGGTTCTCTAACGGATATCAGATCATGATGAAATTCTGTAACACTTATGTTGTCTAAATAATATTGACTGAACAATTATCGTGTCAAGGGATTACAGTTCGATAGCATCAACATAACAATATACACTGAATATCAGAAAAAATTAGGAAAGCAAATAATAATACAAATTCATGAATTTATAGTCTCCAATGAAGGCTGGCATAGGCAGTAGTAGTGTCTAGCTGGAACTGCTTCCTCTGCACACAGAGCACTGGCTGGCTGTTTTAGGCAAATTGTACTCGCCTGTGCTGTTTGCCAGACTGACTTGTTTACTATGCCAAATTCTCATTTTGGAAACCATATTGATGGATGTTCATGATTAGGTTTAGATAACATCCCGCTTGTATGCCTTATGATGTTATCTGTGCATGAACAAGTGAAAAAAACTGATATGTACTGACTTTGCCGATAGTGGAATCTTGTCCCTGAGGATTTCATAAACACTAACATGCGAGGCTTAGAGAGGCTCTTGATTGACGTCTTCTAGGGAATTGACCAGTTGCTTTAATTGTTCATTCAAATGCACTTCAAAGGTGATACTATTACACGAATAGTCAACAGAATATTCAGTAATTCACTAGTCAGAGCCTCTCCTGCGGCTAGGTTGTTTCCCGTTCATCGGACAACATGTTGTTTAGTGCTATCAAAGGTCGAAAATAACTCTACTTATTTTAACGTTAGCAGATATTTTCAGAGAGAAGAAAGAAAGGCACATCATGTCAAATATCTCATTATTACAGGTTATGAAATGAACATCGCTAAATCCTTTAAAATTATTAGCATTAAATTTAAATTTAATTTAATTCAACCACTTGCCAACCACATCCGACACATCTGTAGTCCCAACGTTCTGGAAACAGAATTATATCTTTTTAGAGAAATTTTCATCCAAAATGGATACTCAATAACATTTCTTCGACAAAAACATCAAACCAAGATTTCGAAGAAACGAAACTTTAATTGAGCCGAAAAAGAAACTCAACATGAACTTGGATCTCAAGGGAGATTTAGCAAGCGATATTCTCAAGAGAAGGATCACATCATCTCTGAGAAGAACATTCTTTGCAGCAACGCTCAGAATAGTGTTTTCCAGTCGCTCGCTGATCTGCAGAAGCCTCAAGGACAAGATCCCGCAACTGACCACTTCTATGTGCATATATCAGTTCACCTGCTGTTGTGGAGCAAAGTACATCGGTCGTTCGGCGCGCATCCTGTCCAAGAGGATTCAAGAATACTATCCAGCATGGTTGTGAGAAGGCAATAGTGGTGCAATAAGGAGTGTGATAATTGAACATCTGGTTAACACTGATCATTCCATTTCAGCAAACGCCTCCTTCAAAGTAATCTTCAGAGACGAGAACAACCTATCAAAGACTATACGGTTTCGTTTTCTTTGTATCGCTGAAGCTCTGGCCATTCACATATAAACACCGGAGCAGTGCATACAGAAGAGGATTAACCAACCACTTTTATTGTCTTGGTAAGAACTTTTTCGATTTGATTTTTTGATTTTGACGACTTTATTTTGTTTCTTGGCCTATTCTTTAATTGCTGATAATTCTTGTATTCATTTAGAACTCTTACGTAATTTCGTATTATCTACTTTGTACCTATGTGCATCCTTTGCATCCACTTCTTGTGACTTATGATTTCCAATTAAACTGTTTTGTTCTTCGTTATTACTATTCCTTTGTCTCACACCTCTGTTTACTCTCTATATTATGCATTTCTTCTACTTTCTTCTCTTGCATTGTGTGCCACATGGAGTGTGGCGACTTGAACTGCCGCACATATGTGCAAAGTTCTATGTCGAAAACCGACCGACCGACCGACCTGAGTAAAACTCACTCATCAAACTATTCATATTATTACATAACTTCTATTAACAACCGTTTGTGACAACCCATTACCTTTTTTACTACCCTAATTTCACTAACACCTTATTTTCTTGATTGATATTTTATTACGTAACTCCAATTACCAATCTTCACCTCTTTAGTTAAAATAACCATAAAAAATTGTATTTTGTTTGACAAACTTAATGTACACATACATACAAAATAACACACATATATATTTGCGATTGTACAGCTAAGAAAATGAATTAGCCACCGAAAAGAGACTCTTCGCTGATCTACGTGTTTTGTTTTCATTAAATTCTCAGTAGACAAGATAGCTAAATTCTCCTCAATATTCCCACAGCAATCTCTATCAAATCCTGAAGCTCGATTTATGTATTCGGAAAGAAGCGATTACCGGGCCTTTCTTGTCCTGGTAACTC